CTCTCATTCGGTTTTCCGTCCTCCATCCGATGGCGGCAAGACAAATACTCGAAAGTCAAAGAAGCGTATCACGATGAGACTTAATTTTTTTAAGAGGTTATTCTCCTATCTCTGGACAGACTATAGGGGGACTGCTTTGAATATCGGCGTCGGCCCAGTACGAAGCAGTGTTGAAACGGCTCGTTGCGTCTTGGATATCGATTRCATTTGCACCAGCAACAGTCAAGCTTATTCTCAGGCCATACAAACCGAATCTGTTTTCGGGAACGAGCTTCAGATGGTTTCGAAAGGCCGCGATGGACTCGGTATATCGCCCCATAATGCGCAGCAGAGTTCCTTCGCACAGCGCTACGCTCGTATACCACGACGGTGGTTCGGTGTAGGCCCAACCTTCCTGTTCGATCCGGGCCTCTCGAAAGAGCTGAAGGATMGATTGGGTGTCTGGCWCTATTGTTGTTYGGCTTTGGCGGTAGTATTCGATACCGGCAGAAAGGGTAAGATTTGCGACCGCCACCATTCCACGAAACGAAGGATCAACTTTCGGAATCACATCGCGCAGAGAACGCAAATGRTGCATCGCTTGCGAYAGTCTTTCGCTATCATCAGAATCAATACTGTTACCACCAGAAGCATTGTTCCATAGTGAGGCAACGCCCTTGCTATAGTGCCCAAGAACGATCGCATACGGCCACACTGGTTTCTCTGTCTCACCAGCCCGAAGAAGATGTTCTTGACTACCACTAACGTTGGCAGCAATATCATCGCTATCGTCTAGAATCGATGCATAATCACCGAATCTCAACCGAATCGTTCTCCAAATGTGCCATCCCTCTTCGGTTCCTGGGCCGTCGGGTTTGGTCRGGTCGTTTCGATAGTGGTCYCGCAGCAAATCCGCGTACCGATAGGCGGTCTTGCGTTCTCCGCTTAGTTGCGCTGAGTGAACTAGGAAGGCGGTGTTGTGAGCAGGCCCATACGGAACCAATCCATGGCGAATGTAGGCCTCGTCCGACTCGTGGGCGACCACGTTCGAAGCTACCGCATCATGGTATCTGCCGATCCGCAGGTATGTGTGGGATGGCATGTGCTGGAGATGCTGGGCTTCCGTCGCATGGGATCCGATTGCCAGGCGATCCGCGACGACTCCGGCCTTGCGCACGGGAATGTTTTTGCTTGGCTCGGTGATGTGAATGTATAGGTGCTGGCACAAAGGGTGATCAGGGGACTCCTCTAAGCAATCTTCCAGCAAAGAAATAGCGTATGCAATCCCCGGTTCGGGCGTTTGCTGGTCATYGTCCTGGTAGAAATGGTAGCCATCGTTGTCGGAATGCAATATCATGATAGAGTCGGCGAGAAAGCCCATGRCATCMGAGTCGCCCTTCCCCTCTTTCAAAACSATTGTCTCATGYAAGACTTTCAGCCTTTTACTGTACGATTCAAACCCAATTGTTTGGTTTGTGAAGGATGGACGGAATCGAAGATACATAGCATCAATCAAGCCAAGTTCCTTGAGAGAAAGAGTTTGATAATACCTATTGCGTAATTTTTTGTGTGCCTGCTCATAAGCGATTCTAGCTGCCTCCGCAGCATTTTCGTATTGAGATTGTTCTGCTATTATCGGATGATTGATATATGGAGAATATCCCATTGAAAGTATCCAATGGCACATAGGACAGTAGAAATCAAGGCCGCAATTAGCCGACGATGACAGAGAAATCGATTCGGCTAGCAATTTTGATATTGTGTTGCGCGCCTCAAAAAAGGCAAAGCCGTAGCATTCCAACAGAGCAACGTCAAACATTTGTTGAATACGGGCTCTGCTATCGCGGTTGATAGCATTGCAGGAAGAGCTTGCAAAACCAAAAGTGATTGGCATGGAATAATTCCCAAAAATTACATTGGGAGTCCAGTCACTTGTTCCGTGGTTGGTATTTTCATCGTTGCGAATGGTCAAAGCAATGGATTTTGTGTTGTCACTGCGACCGTGATCTACATCCTGTGTAATCCAGTTTGTAGCTGTTGTGATACCGAACCAACACATCTTCGATTGGTCGAGTTGACATCGTCGTTGGAATCGTAGAGRCAGTTGAAGGCATGCTCCCAGTAGAAATGTAGCAAGATAAAGTGTCTTTCCCCATTTTGCCACGAAACCCCATCTTCTATTCCTTCCAAATCCTTGGCGACTCGGATTTTTTACTTTGTCACACGGTCCACTAGACTCATCCGATGAGTCGTCGACTAAATCATAATTCGTTGATTGCATGGCGTCCTTCCTGTTCAATGAAACCGCCTTGGAAGATGATGGGTGTTGTKCTGCTCTTCACAAGAATCAGCGGAGGCAGGATAATTCTTTGTTGCTCGATCTACCGGTACAACTCCATTCAATAGTCAGCCCGTTCAGCACTTCCTGAAAATGCTTTTTTTCCTTTTTGTTTTGTTCTGTTGTTTTAGATTTCAAAAGTCAGTCGATCGAGTGAGTCGAACTTGAATTGAATTCCTCAATCACGATTGGTATTCAGCAATCAGCAAAATCCGGTTGATGCAAGACAAAACATCATTGATGAGCTTCTCTTTCCAGCCAAACGATGGGGATCGGAGATTTCATTATTCGTTGGATACGTAKATAGAGCCTTGCATWAGTACTACTGGCAGGTAAACTTACGAGGAAAGCAACAAGAGATGAAGAAAAACGGAACCTGCATTAATGTGATTGTCTCATTTTCGATCGAACCAGAGAGAAGCAATGGTGCAGAAGGAAATGAACCKAACGTGATAATGGTGAAAACGACACACTATTGTCGCAGAACCCCAACACTCTGAAGAGACCGATTTTGAGATACGTTACCTTCTTTCATGCCGGAACAAAGTATGATAGCGTATTTGTCATAGGCCTCCTCCGTTAGCTGTTTCCGTTTGGACAGCGACGACCCGTGCAGCAAATCCGTCACGGAGCATGCATGGTTCTGATTCTTTACCAATGGATGACAAGGATTGCAGTGAAGATGGCTATGCCAACCACTGCAGCGGCCTGATGAAAGAATGAATTACAGAACGCTCCGGGTGGAATGCAAACAAACGCTGATGACACGTCGGTAAAAGCAAGTTCCTTGCGTGTGTTTATAGGGCCACCAAGAACAAAAGGAACAACAAGACCCCAGGCTGGCATTTCTCGTCTTTTTTGGGCAGTTCATCACCGCCGAGGTAGGTTTTCACGCAAATGGTGCTGCGTTTCTGTGCCTTTGTTGCAAGGCTGTTTTCAAAGACTTGTACTGCTATGATACCACTATACGATGACTCTGGAGTAGATTTGGAAGTGACGAGAATTCACGCAAAGCATAGTTCATCTGAAGTTCGAGGTCACCCCTTGCTTGAAGATGTTTTATTCCATCAGAATCGCTACTCGGATCCAAATCTACAAGAGTCTGGAAATGTACGGTAGTACCGAGCTTATTTTTTGGGKGTGTGTGTGGCCTGCGTTTGTACAAATCAGAGCATCTTTGGTTCTKTCGACCGTCTGTATGCAGCTTTTTGGAAGTGACGAGAAATTACGCAAAGCATAGTTCATCTGAAGTTCGAGGTCACCCCTTGCTTGAAGATGATTTATTCCATCAGAATCGCTACTCGGATCCAAAATGTTTGCGATTTCCTCTGCTGTTTCTAAAGAAGAATCTATCTAGTATTATMAACATCGCATTCTTGCATTCATCAATGCATGAAAGCGACAACTTCTGACCACACCGTTCAATTTCGCCTTTCTCGATATATCTATCAGGTACTGGCAATTTTGCCCTGTGTAAGAGAGCAACGGTGTYTTAGGGAAATATCAAGGAGTAGTCGTTACTTTCAATACACTGATTGCCCAAATAGAGGTGATCCATAAATGGCAATCATTTTTCTCCTTCCTAGTATCAACGTCCTTTCCCGGCCATGATATGCTTCGACCACAGGATAACTTCAGGGACATAAATACCATTAGGCCATTTGTTCTTCATCTTGTACAATCTACTGATTGACAATTTCGTTGTATTATTTTTGTCGTAGGTGCTCTATAGCAATATCATTCAACCAAAACTGGACGGATCACGATCACGATCATGATCACGCATCGCGATCTGCCTCGTTTTCCTTTTCTTCTAACCGTTGCTTCTCTTTCATTTTCTTGGCCAGCAGCTTGACAAAGGCTGCCAGGTTGGGGTTCTTCTTCACGGCTTCTATCGTCAAACCGCCACCGAACTTGACCGCCGTCTGGCTCAGCTTGACGAACCGGTTGAATTTCGCGCTGTGCTCCGGGTACTCTTCCACGATCGGCCCTATTTCGTGGTTGCAGACGTTGAACCCCACAATGACCCGTTTCTTTCCGTCCGGGATCGATCGGACCGGGGCGCTGAAATGGGGCAGGTCTCCGTCGCACAGCGTTGCCCTGTTGTATCGGTACGGGACCTTAATCCAGTCGCACCCATCGCCACCGCCACCGGTTCCGTCCAGATCGAATTTCTCGATGGGACACTTGTAGCGGAACCTCTTGTAGTGGTCCAGGCCCCCCAGGTTGGCACAGAATTCGCCCCCCTTCATGTCCCTGGTCGGGGTCAGGTGCAGCGTCCCCCCGTACATTGGGGGGTAGATGACGTTGGTCCGGAACCGGAACATCTCGGCATAATCGATGTGGTATCGAACCGAGTCCCCGACGCCGGACGCGATCACCCACACCGAAACACCGTGGACGTTGTCCCAGTCCCCCGCCAAGAGGTGGGCGCAGCGTTCCCTGAARAAGGCGCGGGTGACGCGAGCCGCCAGGTGTCGCCGGTCGTGCGCGGTGGTGTCGGGAGACCCGGGGTCTTGCGGGTCTCCCGCCGGGACGCGATCGATGTCCTCTTTTCTGACGTACTCGCCCCAGACCCCGGCCTCGACGGCGCTGCAGTACATGGCATCCGCCAGTTCGTCGGGGAGAACGTTTTCGACCACCGCCACCAGGCCCGGCGTCGATCGGGGCTGATCGAWTACCATCCGCCCCCTGCTCCCGTTGCAACCACTGGGAGTAAAGCCGTCGTCCCAATCGATRATCCTGTCGGTCGTTTCGAGTTTTTCCAAGAGCCGGGAACCATGGTCCCCATCGCTTGGTTTCGGATTCGTCATGCTTTGTGCTGCGGGTTGGAGTATCGCGCCATGCGAAAGGAATCGTTCGGTTGTACTGGTACTCGTGCCCTGCATCAAGGTACGGTATGTTGTGACCAGATTTTGAAACAAAAATGAGGAGACCACGAGCTGAGACCCTACCGGTAGTAACAGCATTGAAAATGCCAAGAAGTATGCTAGACGCGCAGTGTTTTACACCGATACGAATACGAACTCGTACCGSTACTCGTACTCGTACGTCGGCACGAGTTGAATTGACCAAGAAAATGACGAGTCCGGCGGGAATGGAGAATGGATAACYGCGGTACGTCCGTTATCGTACGGTACGGTGCGTATGTAGCGTATGGGACGAGAGAGAGCCCGAAAAATACGCATCGTAGCATACCAGGGTACCTTTCAAATAGTATAAACATACAGGAAAGATACATTCAAAAGAATTTTCGTTGATCCATCTATTCGAATGCGATGTTATCCCTTTGCTTGTTGCTTTGGCAAATGCAATACGAGTACYGTACTTCAAACGGGTGCGGAAGGAAAGAGTGTTATCGTAGCATGACAACAAATTTGTACTTGGATTGTTGAAGACTAGTAGAAGTAGTATTAGTAGTAGTGGAAYTAGATTACTAGTAGTAGTACAGTACTAGAAATCGTGGTATTGTTGGAGCTCGTACTTTCGTTGGTTTCGTGTATTTGGCATTGCTGGTGTTGGCATGCCTCCCTCACTGGATCCTCGTCACCTTGACGTCGAGCAAAAAACTCTCGTCCGGAACGTCCATTCGGTTTTCCATGACYCTCCGGATCCGCTGCTTTGGACCAAAGCCAACGGGGACGGGCCCCGGCGAGTTCTCGTCCAGGCCCTCGACGTAGGCCAGCGACGGCGGGATCACGATGCGGCGGATCCCACCGACGGCCATCCCCCGGATGCCCTCGTCGAGTCCCGCAATGGCGCGCTGTGGTTGAGATTGCGATTGCGGCTGCTGCTGCTTGGTTCTCCCCCCCACGACAAAAATAAAGGGGACACCGTCGTTGTTGGTGGAGGCATCGATGGTGTACCCGTTGGATCGCTTCAGGACCCACTGGATGTTGACGCGGTCTCCCTCCGCCACGGAGGGACCGCCCTCGGTCCCCATCCGCAGGTCCCGGTAGGTCACCCCGGACTCCAGCTCGACCACCGCCTCCCCGCGGGTCGGGTCGACGAGGTCCCCCGTGTACGGCGTGCCCGTGTAGGGAGACGAGCCCGAGGTCGCCATCGACGACGAGGACGACAGGACCACCGAGGACCCACCCGGCGGGAGCCTTTGCCGGTGCATTTCCGGYCCGGCGGGGTTGCGGGTGTCTGCATGCGCCGGGGTCCCGACGAGCAACGCCACGGCCACCGCCGATGCTGCCACGGCTGCGGTCCTCGCAAAAGCCGAAACCAAGGGACCGGCGATTGCAAAAGGGCTGTTGCTGGGCTCGTGGTTGTTCCTGCTATCGATCGCGCCATCGCCGCCGCCACCAAAGACTGCCCCGTTCTTCTCGTTGCTCCTCAAAACTTCCATTGGAACCCCGGGGGATCGGCGAACYCGGGGGATCCTTCCCGCAAACAGCGATGAGTTTCCGGAGCCGGTCGCTCCCGCGCGGGAGGTTCGTGGTCGCTGCCCCGCGCTGGGTCCGATYGCAAAGGCCTCGGCAAAGGAGAGCGCATTCTTCCCCGAGGGGGCAGCAGCGACGGCCACGGCAAGGGCAACGGCAGCCGCGAGGAACGCCGGTCGGTGAGCCATCGCAGTGGTGGTGGTTTTGTTCGCTGCGCTTCTGCTACCGTGGCTCGTSTGCTCGTTCCGGGTTGCGCTCGGTTCCGCAAGCATATTGCCATTTGTGAGGGGGTGGGAGGGGGTTGTTCGGTGTTGTTCGTTGCCCGAAGACTCGTTGTTGCCAGCTCAAGGATTGAGATACGGTACCGTACGGTACAAAGTGAATCAAAACCTGGTGAGGATTCGTGCCATCAGTGCAGTCTGTGCAGATATTCATACGCATGGTACTTTACGTACGTGCGTACTCGTAGTACGGGTACCCGCAGAATCGGTTCGAGTTTTATTTTAGGTACGGTACTTTTAGATCTTGTTATTGACCATTTTAAGATAGCGTTAGGGTTAACCAATGTGCTTCATCCACAACAGTTTTCTACCATTCGTACGAGCCCACCGTTGGTCAACAAGCAAGCACACAACAAGTGACAACTGCCGCTACGCAACGAAAAGCCATCAAACAACAAACAAACAAACAATAGGAACCAAWCGAACACAGGAACARKAAGCAAGCAACCCATCACATCCCGTCCCGAAACAAACGCACAAACAAAGCACAAAGCACCATGGTCGTCCGTCTGCGGCTGCAGCGCTTCGGCCGGACCCACGCCCCCTTCTACCGGATGGTCGCCGCCAACGCCCGGGCCCCCAGGGACGGGAAGTTCCTGGAGATCGTCGGAACGTACAACCCGATCGCGAACCGCGACGGCATGAAGGAGATCCGCCTCAAGGAAGACCGTCTCAAGTACTGGCTCGGCGTTGGTGCCCAGCCGTCGGACCGGGTGGCCTGGATCCTCGGCAAGTTCGGGATCCTGCCGCCGCCGCCGWCCAGGTTCAACCCCGAAAAGTCCAGGGTCAAGAAGGCGGAGGAAGAATAGTGCCGTGGGTTCAAAGAAAGAGAGATGGTTGGGGCGATTTTCAAGTACCCTKCTGTTAACTGGAAGAGACTATAGAAGTGATTTCATTATCGAAACGAGAATCATTCGGATACCGAACACGAAAGCCTTGTAATGGTTTCTAAAATGTTATACAGTAGTTAGCAGACGAGAACGAGATGCCGCCATCGGGAAGGTTATCCCTTTTCCTCTATAKTAATGTTCTCGTTGGTTCTCTTCTCTTCTACGATGCAGTGCATAGTGTTGATTGTGTTGTTGTAGCCTTTTTGGTTGGAACCGTGCCATGTTTGCACGTGGAGTGGAAGGGAATGAAATCAAATGAAGTGAAGWGAATGRCATTGCGATTCGTTCTTACTTGTAGAGCCACGAGCTGTCGATGCCCAGATAGAAATTGTTCGACGAGGCCTTGCTCCATTGTTTCGCGCTGACGAGCCCTTGCTTCTCCTTGCTGTTTTCGTACTCTTCCCCCAGCTCGGCGTTCTTTTCGACGAACCATTCGACGAGCTGCTTGCCCGTGGTCAGCTTGTGCCTCTTCAGTATGTTCGCGCCGTAGACCGCSCCGCGGAGGTTGTCCACGTTGACGTTCGGTATGCGGCAGCGCTGGGACGGGCTGAACATGCTCGGGAAGTTTTCGTTGAGGGTCTCCACCGCTTCCGTGATGATCTTCCGGTCGGCGGCGGAGGCCACGCCGGGCATGTCGATCAGCTTGACGGGTTCCGCCTTGTTGATCTCCAGAAAGACCTTTTCGGCAAAGCGATCGCCCTCGCCCMCCTCTTGCTCGGGATAGACCTCYACGAGRACCCGCTCGAAGACCTCGTCGACRCCTTCGAGGTCGCCGAGGTCCTCTCCCTTCTGGACCTTCTTGTTGATGGTGGTCTTTAGCGCGGCCATCATTCCGACCCGGTGCTGGCCGTCCACGATGGACAGCTTGCCGCTGGCGGTTTCGTGCAAGCAAATTGCGCCCGGGAAACCCAGTTCCATGGACTTGATCTTCTCGGTGGCCATCGACTTGGCTCGGTTGTTGCGGTAGATTCTGCGCCGYGTTTTGAGTGAGCAACGTGCAAACRGAAAGGCAACAAAACGAAAACGACACATTTCGGATGAGCGGCCTTGGCTCGTTCCCACGCGATTTGCCTCCGTTCGAACAACAACCAACTTACCGATTTCTGTTCCATACCGGAATATTTGAAAGCCTGCCAGCGGAAACAAAATGAATGCGCTTGTATCCGAGATCAGCGACAACGGGGCCAAGGACGGGGTGCACTATGTCTTCCTCGCTATCCTCACTATCTTCAGAGTCTGTGTCTTCTCCTGGCGTAGCCTCGGACGATTCCTGTGCGGTTGGACTTTCTTGCTTCATCATTTGCTCCTGTTCTTTCAACGCCTCCAGCTCCGCCACGAGTTCCTTGTACTGGACCTTTTCCGCTTCGATTTCCRCAACCTGGACCCGGAGGTTCTCTTCGACGATGGACAGTTCGGATTGTTGCTCCTTTCGCTTTTCCAGCAACGAATTGAGTCGCTCTCGTTCTTCCGCTTCGTTTGCTACGGAGACACGGAGCTCCTCTTCGATGGTATCCAGCACGGCTTTTTGTTTCTTTCGTTTTTCCAGCAGTTCTTCCACCTCCTTGTTTTGCTCTTCCGCCTCCTTTTTCTTGGCGACGAACAAATCCGAAACCTCTGCACCGCCGTCCGGCACCTCGTTTGCCAGAARTTCTTTCTCCTTCTTGCGCTCCTCCTCCAGCAACAAGAACCGCTTYCTCTCTTCTTCCAGCTCCGYTTCCTTGGCCTTCAGCGCCTCCCGTTGTTCCTYTTCGAGTTTCATCTGCTGGATTTTCAGCTCGTCCTCCACCCGTGCGTTGGCRGCGTCTTCCATCTGCCGGACAATGTCTTCTTTTTCCCTCTCCCACTTTTTCTCGCTCGCCTGCGCTTCCTCGGCCCTGGCCAGCGCAATTTCTTCGTTGATGCTRGCGCGTGCGTCCTCCGGCTCGGCGGTCGTTTCGATCGTCGYCGCCGTCGTTCCCGGGGGCAGCATCTGCGCACCCATCCGCCGCAGGAGTTCCTCGCGCTGGGTTTCCGGGAGGGACGAGGTGAGGAGGTTCGCGGCACCGAACCGAATAAAGGACAGTAGGTCTGCCGCGACCTCCTTGGCAATGCTGGCGGCAACGTTGGCGACGACCTCGAGCTTGACCCCCCCGTCGTCGTTTCCTTTGCCGCTGGCCTTCGAACCAGCCCTGGGGGCGTCCTTGTCGAAGGGCGGGTTCGTAATGGAAAAGGTGGTGGCATAGTAGGGCTCCAAAGCCGACTCATCGTTTTCCTTTCCTTCGTCTTTGCTTTCCTCAACTTCGACGGCGGCATCCTTTTCGGTAGGATCGGCTTCACTCACGATGGATTCCGTCTCATCTTYGTTGTCGGTAGGTTCTTCGGAAGTTGCTCCTTCCGAATCTACTTCCTCTGCGCTCGAGGCTCCTTCTGGCTCTTCTGCTTCCTGGGTGTCTTTCTCTTCTTTCTCCGAGGTTGTTTCGGGCTCTTTTTCATCATCGGTACCTTCCTCTTCGKCGACCGCGACGGCTTGAGAATCTTCTTCTTCGTCGGGTTCTTCCTCGGGTTCTTCCTCGGTCTCTGCGGTCGGGATCGGCTCGATATGCTTGTTCTTCTGCAACCTCGCCGCTAGCATTTCACGACGGACCAATTCCTCCCTGTACGGAGCGGAAGCACCTTCGCCAATGGTCTCTCCCGCACCGAACAACTCGGTTCGAGGGGGGCCGACGATGCCGCTAGGGGACGTCGATGCTGCTGGTCTCGCGATGGTGTTCACGGAAAATCCGCGGACTACGACCGCTACACCGGCCAAAASGATGACAACACTGCATGCCGATGGGATCTTCATTCTCGAAAACAACAACTAATCTAATTTCTACTTGGGTTTCGATCGGGCTACAAGGTAGGTTTATTTGCTAGGTTTTGTACCGAATGGTTTCGTGTGCAACAAGTTGCTTTSYGTAGTGCGGTTTATTGCCTCCGGGGTCGATGGGCATGACGAACCAGTGCCTCGTGAGAAACGATYCGAGAAAATTGGATYGGGCGTTTCTCATTCGATGATAGGAACGGTAGGTTGAGATTTGTATTCCATAKTCCATTYCTTTGCACATCAGCGTGGACGAATGGGCCTGCTTCGTTTCACGATCGTTGACACCACTTGGATACGAATCTATCCTACGGCATGTACGTATGAGAACTGTACAATCCAAGATCTTGCGGTTT